GCCCCCGCGGCGGGCAGGTTCGCGTTTGCCGCCTGGTGACGGCCGGCGACGCGGTGCCTCCGGCGCGGGAGAAGGAGGGGGTCAAAAGTTTGTTTACGCTCCGAGATCGTGAGCCCCCGAACGTTTATTACTAAGGGAAGGCGCCCAGCAGCGCCCGCTGAGGGAAATACTCCCCGTCAGAATATAAAAAACTTGTGTCATTCGAGTCCGTGAAGCTGACTGAGGCCTCTCCCTTCTCTTATTTCCAAGTCGGGCGTAAGAAAACCAGGCCAGGAAGGTCTCTGAACTTGAGGAGAAGCTTCAGGAAGTCTCCAGAAAAGACAAAGAGTACGCAGGGAAACTGTTGGTGATGTCTAAGTATCTATCCGGAAGGTGGGCAGTAAGGAAGAGCTAATTAAAGATGTCAAATATCGCACTCCTAATTATATTAGAAAAGGTAGCGCAGCAGAAAGTAGGTCTGAATGCACATCTGAGATCAGGAGACTCACTGCTTAATCCGCGACTGCAAATTATTACATCACTGCGCGTATTCCCGTTAGGCACCGGGTTCCGACGCCGTGATTTGCCTCTTGCAGGTGCCGTGCAGTTAAGACTAGCTTTGCTAAAACTGGCGTTGCGCCGGTTATATCAGACTTTGCTCGCTTTGCGTGTTCCGTTCTTAGGATAATCTAGGCTTTTGATCATCTTTCTGTTGGGGTTGCCCAAGTGGTTTAAATACATTCGCATGTCACAGAGGGGGACAAAGCGTCTCTGGTAGAAACACAGACGGAAGAGCCGCAGGACCCCTCGCGAAACCCTACAGAATGAAGTCAGTTGGGCTGCTGTGGGACCTATCCAAAGACTGTCCTACAATCGGACCTTGGAAACAATGGAAGTTCATGTTTTAATTCAGATTAGAGTTCTGCAGTAGAATTACTGGAGCTGTATATGTCGATACAAGAATCTTTCCTTTCCTCCGTTACACCGCATGACATTTCAAATGCCGTCTGAGATTTGCCTCCAGTAACAGAGATGTGGGATATTGCTCACCGGGCACCACGTACACCGCTGTGGCACACCCTTGTGTTATCTTCACTTAAGCAATTTGCTGTGTGTATCCTTATTTATAGCTGCATACTGTACCACCCTTAGATGTTTTAATACCAGTTTAATTCCCTATCCCATAATTGATTACATACGATTTGCAGTTAAGAAAGGTCACGGATTCGTACACTCGGTCTGACATTGCTAATTATCAAAAAGATTTTATATATTTAAGGTAATTAAAATACAATACTTTATGTAGCAGTACTGCCTAAGTGGTTGGAACCCATAATACCAATAGCACGTTAAAAAGGTATGGCATGACCTCCAGTTCACAGGCTATCTCTGATTATCTTCTTAACGGATGTACAAACACAAGGAGACATCCAACCCTTGCTACCAAAACACAAGGAGAGTAACAGAATGTAAACACAAAGCTGCTAATGTACACACTGACACATGAATGACATTTACATTGTTCAGAATAAAATCCAGGATATTCTTGAATAATGAGCAACAGAAAAATTGCTAGAGCGAAATAATCATGAGAATCAAACACGGACTTGCTTGAAATGAGAGTTTTTTCATTAAAAAAATGGTGCAGCTAATAATAAAGTCTTTTAACCTGTATTTTGTTATAGGTGACAGGTGAACAAATCACAGGTCTTGAGTTTCTCTACCCTGCCTCTCTTGGTAACGTCATCTCCAGTACCATCTGCTACCTACCAGACAAACAGACCAACCACATAATGAGGTACCAGCTTCCACCCAGCTACCGTGACTAAATCAGAACAAAAGATTCAACGCCTCCTTCAACAAAGGAACACAAGTCTAAGCTGTCTTTGCTAATTGCTGGGTTTCAGGTTGTCTGTTACAGATTTTAAGTGAGCTACAAACTTCCATCAAATACTTATAGCTCTTGGATAAAGGTACTAAGAATAAAAGATAAATGGAAGCAAAAGGTAAGAGAGAAGAGAAGAAAGCTTAGAAAATAAGTAACTACTTATGGTAATTTAAAGGCTGTGGAATAATATAAACATGAAAGACCAGGGGGCAGAGTGATTGATATCTCATATGTTTTCGATGCCCCTACGGTTATTAGACTGCAATATATGGGAACATACAATAAACTATGAATTAAAATGTAATTGTAGCTTCAGGCATCTTCTTCATTGTCTGCTGTGGTGTTATGTCTTCATGCACCGTGATTGACAAGGTGTAATTAATCATCTTACTCAGTTGTAAATATGGGCACCCTTCACAGTAGGCATCAGGAAGTGTGTACCAGCAAAAGAAGCAATAGTTGACGCTGATATACCATTAAATCAAAATCAGAACGCTTATATGTTCAGAAATGTGTGTTTGGTGTGATGCTGTTATCATTTATTTCTAAAATACTGTACCAACAGATTTACTTGATTTGCAAGTTAACTACAACACTAACTGGTTTTATTTATTTTGTCTCTTCTTCATTTTTATAGGCAATGATGTTGTTCTCCTAAAATGTGAGACAGTTTGCTTCTTGTCAGCGAGTGGAGCTCAGCTCAGCTCTTCATCTCCCTGAGTTGCCGGAGACAGACTAGCATGCTTCAGATGCAGTTGCTCTATGGACTGACTTGAAACGATCCAGGGAAATTATTACTCCATTCATATATCACTTTTTGCACTTCTCATATACCGAGTTAGACACTTCAGGTCATTTTAAAGTGAAAGAGAATAATGAAATAATCTGATTAAGAACCACTATTCAGTTTAAAAATAGGACATTTCTTGTCACAAAAGCTGTCCCCTAACTGTAAATGAACGTGTTTTTAAAGATTTTTTTTCAGTATTCCAGGGCAAGAAGCATTTTATATTTGTTTCTTCTTCTAAATGATTGCTATCCTTATCCAGTTAGTGCAAAAATGGTGTATGAGTCACAGGAAATTTAAGTGGTTTGTCTCAGGAAAATTTGGTGGTATGCATTTTTTTGACGCACATAGAGCTGCTGAATGAATAATTGGCAACCTATTTAATGTCCTTTGCTTTAAAGCTGTCTAGTACATTTGCTGTTTAAAAAAATGTCTTTCAGAGCTGTTAAATATGTAACAAAAAGAGGTTGCTATCACCATTCTGACATGAACAAAGCCATACAGTGAGCTGCCTGAGGTACTTCCAGCATGGTATTAATTACAAACACAATAATAAATGAAAATTCGCAAAGTTCTCAAATTCCATTTCTTTGCAATACCAGCTGATGAATGTTTTATAAAAGCATGCAGTAAAAATATCGGTCCAGGAATTAGCTATTAAATATTACCTATGCCAAGCATTTTGGGGAGAGTATGGAATCTGCTGGATCTATCATTTCACCATTTACCCCTGATTGAATAAGATCTCTGGCTGTCTCAAAAGCAAACCGGGCTTAAAACAGCAGCGCACTTTCAAGAAGATGATCGGCTAAGAATGTGTTTTATTTTGATTTGCAAAACTGTCAATCATAGGGTAAAAAAGACCAAATAATATTATTATATAATATTAGCGAATTGTATTTGTCTGGTAAACCAGGAATATGCAGGAAAGATAAATAATGCAGTTTAAAAGGAAAATATTCAGAATGTTTTGTCCAGATGTTGTGCTGAAATTGTTTGGTACCAGCAATAGGTTTCAGATAAAAATACAAGGATGTATCTAGAGATGTGAGAGAGAAATCAGATGCCCAGGATCTTACATATTTCAGTTTATACAGCCACAGCTATTTAAACAATTCCAAAACTGCCTCTACGGGTGTCAAAGAGGGAGGGAAATCTTCAACCACATGATCTTCTCTCCAGAGTCCTGTTAAATCCACTGAACTTAAAACAGAACAAGAAGTGTGAAATATGGGTTTGAACATGTTATGTCAGAAATGTAAAGGTTGGAAGCCTTTTTAGTAACCGATATTAATATTGTATTAAATGTTATGAAAAGGTAGGTGTTGGAGAGAAGGGCTGGGCTCATGTGCAATTTTGTCAAGGTTTTTATCTGTGATTATGATTCCAGATGTATCTACTCCCTGAGGAGAAAAACGAAGTAAAGTTGGCATGTGACATGTGTTTTAAGGTGTTTGGCACAGTTTCCCAAAGTGATGACAAAATGTTCATTTTTATTACACCGAATTGGTGAAGAAAATATGATTCTGAAGGTCAGTAGCTGTATATTTAAGATACCTTCGGAGTCTTATTTTGGGGACTATAGATTTTTGGTGACGTGTTTAGATCTGATAGCCTGACTTGAGCCTACCATAGTAAATAATTTGGATGGAATAATATTTACAAAATATGAAGTGGTAATTACTGGAAATTCAGTAAATTTCATGCACAGATTGTGGCAAAGATTGCAAAAATGCCTCTTTTTACATCTAGTAGTGTAGCTGCTTCTTAATTTTTAAAATCTGTTTAGTACAGACTAATCTTTTTGCTCTACAGTTAGAACTCAAGTGTAATAAGATTCTTTGTAGGAACACGTTTTTAGTGTAAATGGACAGATTTTTTTTTTTTAAACAAAGCGGGGAAGGTTTTTTTTTCTTTGCTGAAAACTACTTTGTCTAAATGCACATTAAGAGTTTAGATAAGAAAGTTCCCTATGGCTACTCAGCTCCCCTTCTCTCTTCCCTCCAAACCCCTTCTGTGTGTAATAGTATCAGTAATTCCATGCTGACAGCAGGGCACCCAGGGCTACATTACCAGGCAAACACTCACTCATAAACATTTTACAAGTTCAATATCAACCAATCCTGGAGGTTTCGGAGGCTGCCCTGATTGGGTAAATCATGGAATTGGTAAACACGGCTACATAACAAAAATAAGGTTTGTAGAGAAAGAGTCCAATAGTATTGCCTCCTTTGAATAATCAGAGGCTAAGAATATGATTAATTCCATATTTTATAAGTAAACTTC